TCTTAATGAAAATATATATATAGATATATATAAAATTGTGCTTCAAAATTTAGAAAGTGACAGAAAAATTAATTTTGGAATTAATTTTAATAGGTTATTGATTTCTTTTATTTGCTCAAAATGTTTAAAAATAAACATGAAAACTTTTTTTTTCTCATAATCTTTTTTGTCCTATTTTACTTTCTTCTTTTGATTGCCGTTATTAAATTTGTATGATAGAGAATTTTAAATTAGCATCTTAACATTTCTTTTCCAAAAAATTCCATTGTTTGTAAATGGTGCTGAATATTTTTTTTAAAAAATACAAGACAAAGTGTAAAATTTGAGATTATTGAGAAAAAAAAATGGTAAATGAAAAGGAATTATTTGAGAAAAAATTAAGAGATATTAAGGACAATATTTAGAAATCCTAACGGCCCCAATTTTCACATTGTGACAATAGTACTTTACTAATCATTTTTGAAATTTATCCTATTTTTCTTTTTTTTTTTTCTATTGCTATTTTTTAACCCGTTTCTTACTTCATAAAATTTTAAATTTGTATTTTGTAATTTTTTAGAAATCATTACGGTTTTTAATATTTTTCATAAGAAAAATGAGAGAATATTATGTATGAAAAATAAAAGAATATTTATCGAACAATTTTTTAATGAAAAAAATAAATAAATAAATTCTCAAATCCGAAAGAAATGATTTAAAATCAAAGAAAAAAAAAATAAAAGAATTGTGGAAAAAATTTTAAACAATGATGGTTACTTTTAAAAAATCAAATTATTCCAATTTTTATATTGCGTAATTATTATTTTAGTAATTATTTCTGTAATTTTAAGCATCCAATAGATTCCTTTATATTCCATTCTCATAATTTCAGTTGAAATAATCCAAAGAATCCTATTTTTGTTCCAAAATATTATCACTATATATAATCCCAAAGTTTGAGAAAGTTCCGCAACAACCTGCTGCGTGCCAAAATCAGGAAAAATCTGGATTTTCACTTATGTGAAGCGCGCTTTTGAGTACCGCGGTGTAGCCTCTGCCACAGGAGAGTCTTCGGAAATCACGTGACGCATTATAGGTGGCGAGGATCTTACCTCCCACATCCCTCCTCTCCCTCTTCCCCTGCAAAATGCCGTAATGGCGACTAGCGGTACATCTCTGCGGCTGGCTATAAACCTAAATTTATGTTTTTTATTGGTAAATTTAGCTCTAATCGACGCTTTAGAAGGTTTTCCAAGCCGAGAATAGTAAGTTAACAGAATTAAAGATCAATTTATTCCAAAATTAGTATCCTTAAATTGCTGTCTTCAAAAATTATAATATTACACCACTGTCACTTGAAAAGGAATTCTCTCTATGATTTCGCAATATCTGCGCACACACAAGAAAATTTACTTGTTTATTTTCCATGCCGAAAACTTATGTATAATTTGAATGACATATCTTAATAGTTATAATACCATAATAGTTATAAGCATCGGAATTTCATCCATTTGTTTTGTTAATCTTTTGAAGAATTCGTCAATTTTTTTATAATCTATAATTTTTAGAAAAATGTGTCTATTTTACTTAATTATCTCTTTAAAAAGATGTATGAATATCTATTGAATCGCTGTGATTTATTTATCTTTTCAGTGTTCACAGTTGGGCCGAAAATTTTCAAAGTCGTGTTTCGCAGGAGTTGGATAAATTCACTGGATTAAAAAATCTTGAAACGGTAAATAATTAATGTCATTTTAATTGTTAATAACTGTTTTTTATTTTTTCGTTCATATTTTTCTCATTAGTTTCAGTAACTTTCTTTTTTATGCATTTTACATGCTTAATTTTTATTGTACCTAATTATAAATGTTTATCTATGTCCTTATTTAAGGAATTCTTTTTTTCATTAGTTTAAGTAACTTTCTTTTTTATGCATTGTATATGCTTAATTTATATTATTCCTAATTATAAATGTTTATCTATGTCCTTATTTAAGGAATTCTAAGACTTGCAAAATGCAATAATCCTAAGGATTTGTATTACCTTTAAATCTTGTTATTGTTCTTTATTTGTTCTTTAATATTATGTAGGTAATTTTTTTCTGATTTATTTACTTCTTAATTTATGTTATGAATTTAAATTGTTTATCAATATCCGAATTAGCAATTCAGAATTAGCAAAAAGTATAATCTTAGAAATTTACATGATCTTTTAATCTTGATAATGATTTTAACATTTTGTTCGTAATTTTTTCTTTGTATTTTATATGATTAGTTTGTATTGTAATTATGATTTATTTACTTAATTTATGTTATAAATTTGAATTGTCTATCAATATCCTTATTTAAGGAATTTCAGAATTAACAAAAAGTATAATCTTAGAGATTTACATGATCTTTTAATCTTGATAATGATTTTAACATTTTGTTGGTAATTTTCTCTTATTCATACTTTATATGATCAATTTGTATTGTAACTATTATTTTTCATTTATGTATTTATTTGAGAAATTCCAAGATTTGCAAAAAGCTGAACTAAAATGAAAGGCAATAGTTATATTTGATTAAAGTTGTCAAATTTCCATAGAATATTAATACTGTTTATTAGTTTCTGTAGTATTTTTATATTAAGTAATTTTTTGTTTTTCATTTTATATGCTTTAATTTATTTATAAGTTAATTGCATTATGTGTGGCTAGTGATTTCAAATATTTATTAAAATCCATTTACTTCAATGGTCTATTGGTCACAGTCTGGGAAGCATCATTAAGAATGACATGCATTGTGCGAAGACATGCCATCATTGATCCTCTACAGCAGGGATTTTTCTCTTTTTTTTTTGTATGAATAGCCATAATTAGGTTAATGAAATTAAGTTGTCTATAACTTTAAATGTTGCTATTGTTATTTATTAGCACCTTAATATATTATGCACATTTATCTAAGCAATTTCCTCTTGTGTAATTTTACAAGTTTAATGTATGATTTATTGTTAAGGTACGTATTTTTTTTTAAAATATTATTTAAGAAATTCGATGATTTACGAAAAGCCAAACCAACTAAAGTGGATGGTCACAGCTTGGTTGATAGAATGGCCCAAGATCTCTCAGCGAATCTGTTTGTAAAGACTCAAGCATTAGATGTAAGCCAATCATTTTAGATCTTTTCTTTTTTTAATTCTATCTGTCTATATTTTTTAATTTTATATTTATATTTGTTTGTGTTTGATATATATATATATATTCATTTAGTGTTTTCAAACAAAATTTTTGTATATAAACCAGTTTCTCTGAAGATAACTATTATGATTTTCTTACTTTTATTATAAAGTTATTTATGGAACTATAATAATTAATAGGTAAATAGTATGTAATGATTTCCTAGTAATATAATGCTAGATTTTGTTATGAATCTCAGTATGCATCAACGGATAAAAATGATAAAACAAATGAGTTTAATATCTTCATAAACTGTTAAAAATGCAGCATTTAAAATTTTATCTGTTCTTAATGAAAAAGGTCTATATTGTCAAAATCTGCCAAAAGTTTCATTCCCGAAAGATGTTTCAATTTTCGCAAAAGTTGCAGAGTGCTCATTTGTGGATAAAAGTACTTTTATTATTTTTTTTATTTTACAACTTAATTATTTGTTGATTCCTAATTATATCTTTAAAGTATTTTCAATACTCTGTATCAAAATTCCTTTACTGTGTAAATGCAAAAGTTTAAATTTGTTAAATTTTGCATAGAATGAGTTGAATATGAAGTGAGTAATCAGTATGAAAATCAAAGTTCATGAATTTCATTTAATATAAATTCATTTAGAATTCATAATACCTATCTGATCTTTATTATTTTGTTCAACAATTTAGAGATTGGTTGCTGCTGCAGAAGAAGTCATAAAAAATTATGCTTTTGATCCTGCAGTACAGGCAAGTATATTTCCAATATATTATTAAGCATATAACTATTGTATTTATATTGTTTTCATATCAAAAAATTGCTTAAAAGTACTCTTTTATTAAGCAATTTTTTATTGGTAACATTTCAAAAAGTGGTAAATAGAATTATGATATGCCAATAGCATTGTAATATATACTACCTGGAGCTCAATTCAAAATGAAACATATTTATTAAGCATACTTATCTGATTTTCCTTTGTTGTTTAAGGATCCTATAGATACATTAACAAAAGTAGCTTTTAAGTTTTTAAACACAGCTCTTTGTAAAAGGAAACTTTAAAAGAAAAATTTATTTTAGACTTAATTTTTTTCTTATTCAAATGTTTCTTGTTCTAAGATACGTAGTTTTATTTTTTTTATTTGATTTATAAAACCATTAAGGAAATAGCTGTAAAAATGACACAATTTTATATAATTTTTTATTGTACATCATGCATTATTTATATATTCAGAAGGAATCTTTATAATTTGAATGACACGTTTAAGAACAATCAATTCTTAGCTTTGAGTTAGAAAGTTCAGCAACTTTTTCTGAGTAAACTTGTACCTTTTCTTAAATTAAAATATTTCCATTCTGTACATAAGGTATAGTTCGTTCTACAGGAGTTGGCCCCTTCATCACTTGGTATCTGAGGATACTATTTCGCTATTTTTGGGAGAAGGACGCGAGCAATCTGAACAAGGTTGCTATTTGGCAACCATATGACAAAAATATTTATTTTGCAATATTTATGTGCGTTTTTTCTAACATTAAATATTTCATTATCTTTGATGATATTTTTCACTTTTGAGAGTATAGTTTGTCCTTTTTGAGATTTTTTGTTGGGAAAACAACCGTTTCTAAATTTTAAATTTTTTTAATTAGAGTAAGGAAAGATATATTTGCAAATGATAAAGTGAAGTAAGTGACTGAAAAAGAATTCACTATTTGCATTTGGCGCGCATTAAGGGTTGTCTCAATTTCAAGCGTGGGGACGTTTCTCCTCTTAATCCCTCGCTGAAATGAACTCTTCGTCCGAGGAAATACCAACTCCTGGTGAACGAACTATAGTTATACAAAATTTAAACTTTTTAATAGTGTTTTTAATTTTAGTTCTACCACCATTATGAATTGATAAGCTTTAAAATATTTTTCAGGCTACTTTATACTCATTTACCTCATAATTTTGCAAATAAAGTTATTACATCAATTTTAAATTTTTAAAATAAATATGTGTTTTTAATCTTAAATGTGAATATTTTTCATGCCGAGCCTTTTACAATATAGTCACACTGAAAGTAGTTACTTCTTAAAAAATTGTTACATTTTCATATTTTAATACTTATTTAATACTTCTGTTTGAATGTTATATCAGATGCAATTAGTATAATATTTTTTTTTTTTTTTTTTTGAAGGAAGAAAATTAAGCGGTTCAATTATTTTATTTGATTAAGGGTGTTCAGATCACACAAAAAAAAAAAATGATGATTAAAGATATTTGATTTGTATAATGTGCACATAATTACATATTGTTTGATAAAGTACGAAAAAACTCTTAAAATGGAAAGATGAATTCGAAGTTCACTTGCATTACGGTTGATTATAATCAACCAATAATATGCATTTCTTAAAAAACAAATCTATATCAATTGTTATCCCTCGTGCATCTGTATTAAAATATAGAAATAGACACACTCAAAATTATTATTTTATAATGCTGATCATGTTTTGTTATTATCTCTGCTGCATGTTTCATAAAATTATAGAAATATACAAATACAGAAATATTATTTAACAACACTAAACAAGCATGTAAAAAATATGTGGTTATCCAAAACAGTCGGGACCATCGCTATTCCGGATAACTGATTTTTCCTGTTTTCTGAATTGCTACAAAAAATCTTTTTTTTTATTGTTAAACCCAACTAAAAAAAGAAAAAATTTGAAAATAATCTTGAAAATAAGAAAAAACGATGAAATAATACACTAATGATTATTTCCAAAATGATGGTAAGGTAAACATCTTTAAAAAAAGAAAAAAAAAATCATAAAATCTTATGACTAAATTTTTTTTTTTTTTCTTAAATGGCGAGAAAATTTATTGAATTTCGTTCCGGTTTTTTGGTTATCCGGTTTTCTGATTTCCGGATAACGGGTTCTGTACTGTACTAAACACTTTAGAAATGCTCAGTTATAAAATGTGTGTCCTATTGCTTTTCTTTAAAACTCCTTCAAACTGTACCAATCTTTAATCATCGTTTTAGCAAAAGTTGATCAATAAGAAATTTACTCCACAGTCATATTAAATATTTTCACATGTAACAAACATTTGTGACTCTATTAAAAACTATATGCCTCTAATTAAAATTAGTCTTACACCCAGATATAATGTACATCACTTCAAAATTGGTACATTGTTAATTTTTCTGGGCAGTGTAAATAGATTGAAAGTAAACATCCGAACATTTCTTTCATCCTATAAAAAAAAGCATCTAGGAACATTTACAACTGGTAATCGAACTTATACTTTAAGTAAACCTGGTTAACGACTTGGCCCTTTGTTTGAAAGTTAATATCAGAATCCGATGATAATCAAAACAACCAGTACATATATGTAGTGAATCTGGACAAATTTAAATTTATACTATACGATTGCACTGAAGCTTAATGCTTATAATGTTCTTTTATTTTTAAGTTAAAACCTTTCCTTCTCTCACTTGATGTTGCTAAAGAAAAAAAATTTTTTTATCAAAACGAGTGCAGAAGCCTTAGAAATCATCACTTATTCCGGAAAGTTTTTAGGCAGATTTTTTATAAAGTTGTCTAAAAAAAAAATAAAGAAAACTTGAAAGGTTCTTGATGTCTTGGAAGTAATTTTCTTATATATGTGCGAAAATTTTTAGTGTAAATTAGTGATGTTGTTGACACTTATTATATTGTAGAATATTTTCTTGAATCTCTTTAACATTTCATGATTGTTGTTTAATGAAAAAAGAGTGGGAATGTTGTTTAAATAAATCTCATCATTATTTTAACATGATTAGCAAATTTTTTTTTTAAAAAAAATGGAAATATGAGATTATGATTTCTGTTTCAGCTGAGTGAAGAAGAATTCCTTAAGTTGAAAGATCTTAGGCAAAATGATTCTAAGTTGCAGTATAATGAAAAATTTAACAAAGCAGTGAATACCCAATATTCTGGAGTTCACATACCTGTAGAAATTTATGAAAAATGTGAGTATGGCTTATTACACCTCAGTAATTTTTTATTCAGGCAAAGTTTTTTCTTTGCCTAAATAAAAGCCTAAATAAATTTTATTTACTTCTAAAAATAGTGGTTTTATTTATTTCGAAATAATTTAAATTTTTAAATAATATTTGAAACTTTGCGAGAATCAAATTCAAATGCTAGTGTAAATGACAATACATTTTTATACTATTAGTAAAAAGAAGAAATAGTCTCATGTGCAAAATGTCTTAATGTTTTGCAGTTGTAGTTATGATAAAGCAAATGTTCTGCAGAAGTGGCAAAACATGCATATATTACTATATACACATATTTAATGCAACTTTTTGCTATCCAACATTGATAAAAAGATTTTTAAACGTTTTAAGTACCTCATATATGAATTTTATTATTTAGTTGTGAAATTACAAATTGTACCTAAATGCAAAATCTTTTTTGAAATATTTTTTTTTCTAACTCAAGTTCAATGTGAATTGTAATTAAACTTAATGAAAAAATTTTACTTGCTAATGAAAAAATTTTCTACTTGTTTTATTAGCTTTCAGAACTTTCGAGCTATTCCACCATTTGCGAATATCATATTTTTACTCTTAATCTTAGTTGAAAATAATCAAACAGTTCTAGTAGGTTTTGTTAAAATAACTCTTGGTGACATTTACACTAAATTCTTCAGTAATTCCCTTAAGTTTAAAAATTAAAAACTGAAAGTTACAAATGTAAATCAATATATTAAGTTTGCATGTTACACCAGTTTTTAATTTTTTGAAAAATTTTAAATTTATATAAATAATAAAAAATTAGTCACTAAGAGTATTTTAAAAAAATTATTAGAATTGCTTGATTTTTATTATCTCCTTTAATTTTAGAGATTACAACAGTTAGCATATTTTGCTCAGTCTGTATGTGTGTGTGTGTGATGAATGTTTATGAATCTAGGGTTAAGCAAGCAACACATTTATTTGTTCTAAATAATGATCAAATCTCTCTATACTTTTATGATTTTGCATTGGAAAATTTTTTATTCTGCTCTGCAAACGTGTAGTTTAAATTTTTTTAACTAAAGTGGAATGCTTTGATTTTATTCTTTTTTAGCTCTGGATATTCGCAATGGCTTAAAATGGTCTTCTAAACTAGACACTGTTTTTAAGAAAAATGCTGAACTAGATCCAGACATAATGTGGCAGTCATTTGGAAGCCAGTCTGGCTTTATGCGTGTTTATCCTGGTATGTTTATCTTGTTTTTTTTTATGTAATTTAATTACAAAATTTTGGTAGTATTATTTCAGATCATTTTATTTAAATATCATGAATGCTCTGTGGTAGAATCCTAGCGGCATAGTCGCGGAAAGTTATTAAGTTCTGCAAAAAGATTTTTCCTTTGGAAAGCAAAAAAATTTTATTTTATTTTCTGCAGAATTTTTAAAGCAAGTTTTTTTTTTTTCTCAGTTGAATTAATTTCAAGATGCCTTTCTTGTGTAACAGAGGGGGAAGAAATGTTTGTCATTATTAATTTTCTCTGGGAAGAAAATTTTGATAAATGGATTATCTTCCAGATTGTCAAAAGATAATCTGGAGGAGGATTTTGATACAATTTCAGATTTGTAGCAAAATAATTAATAAATCATTGTGGTGTCTTTTTTTGTAACCCCCTTTTTTTATTTGATTGAAATAAAATTGATAAGCTATTATGCACATGAAGTTTGAAATCGTGCATTTGAGCATTCACTTTATCGTTTACAACTCCCTTCTGATCCTTTTTGGTTATCATTGCTAAGAATTTTTATTTCATTTTTTTGAAATTTTGTTATTTTTCATTGCTCAGTAATTACTATTGATATTCTCATGATATTTTTTTAAAAAAATACCAATATCATTACACCACACGAAGTCATCCACTTTTAAGTAATCACTCTTTGACAATCATAGTGTGTGCTAATATCATTGTAAATCCATGCAGTGTCAATAATTTTTTCGACAATTATTGCTGTGATTTTTTTACTTTTTAAAGAACCCCTATGTTTTTACTACAATTTTTTTTGCATGCAAAATTTAAATCGCATATTTGATTATTTGCTTTCAATGTGATGATTCCTTCGTATTTTTGCCAGTTATTGCTCCAGATTTCCTGATGGTCTTAAAATTCCGGTATTTCTCATTTGATATTATTTTGACATGTGAAATCAGAAACTAAAAATTGCTTGCTGTCAAAAATATTTTTCATTTTCGAATTTAGGATAGAACATATATTAATTTTCAGCAATTTAAAAAAAAAAATACTTTTTTTGGATTGGAAATTCGAAAGAAAAATCCGCCAGAGAGAGATGAAAAAAGTTACATACATTTTTATTTTATACTTGTAAACCTTTTTTTATATATAAACTTGAAGCACTTCTATTACTTTAAATTAGTAATATATATTTGTTACTATCATTTTATTTTTTATGTCATTTTTTAAATTATCATTCCTTTGGTTTGTAATTATTTTTCTTTAGCCTGCAAATAATAATATTAATTCGATGCTTGGAACTATAATAAAAAAATTTAATTTATGATTTGAAATTTTTGCTCACTGGTGCTTGAGTTTTGTAAAAAATTATATTTCATGGTAGATTAAATTTTGTTATTTGCAGCTAGTTGGTGGATCACCTTACCCAGGAAACCAGAATTTCCAGACTTATATGATGTTCGGCTAAGACCATGGTAAGGTCTTTTTAATGTGCAAATACAGTAGGGAACCGATTATCCGGAACGATCGGGACCATCGCTATTCCGGATAACTGATTTTTCCGGTTTTCTGAATCGCTACAAAAAGCCGTTTTTTTATTGTTAAACCCAACTAAAAAAATTTTTTTTTTGGAAATAATCTTAAAAAGAAGAAAAAACGATGGAGCAATACACTAACGATTATTTCCAAAATGATGGTAAGGTAAACATCTTTCAAAAAAGAACGAAAAATCCTCAAATTTTATAAGGAAAAAAACAATTTTATAATGGTGGGAAAATTTAGCGAATTTCGTTCCGGTTTTTTGGTTTTCCGGTTTTCTGATTTCCGGATAACGGGTTCTGTACTGTATAATAAAATGTTAATTATTTTTATTTATATTCAGTTTTAAGGGTATTTCTAATTTTATTTTAGGTATGTCCATGCTACAAGCTCTCCTAAAGACATGTTAATATTAATGGACTTGTAAGTATCAATGATTTTTTAATAATTCTTATTTAATTGGATCTTATTAATTTTTGACCTGAAATGTAAGTTTTTAAATTAAATTCTACATGAAGTTTGGATTTAAAAGTTTTAGTTTTTGTTTTCTTGTCTCAAAATTGTTGTAAATGTTGCGATTCATTAAAACAAATTTACATTCTAATTTTATTTTAAAATTCATTTTAATTTTTACCTCGTTCTTAAATGTTTTTTTTTTTTTTTAATTTCTTTTTTATGATGTCTGAGTGTTATTATAGCACAGGAATCAACTGAATAATTTGATATTAATAGCAATATGTGTCATTTGGGCTATAGCAAAATCTAGTGAAAACTAACAATGATTGCTTAACAATGACCATTTTCATTTCAACTGTCTATTTAAATTATTCTATCATATAATTAATGTCTTTATGGGAAGTATATTTATGGAAATAATTTTCGATTCACTTAATGAACAATATAAAAGTAATAATCATTATTATCACAGTAAATCTGAATTTTTTTCTTTATTTTAATAATTTTAATGGATTTTTTAAACCTAAATATAAAACTCTGAATATTATATTGACCTTAAAAATTCACTTCTCTTGGAAAAAGATCTTGTTAATGTTTAGTCCTTTACACAGTCAATGTATTCAAAAAAAAATTGTGCTTACTCCTCGGCCTTTGTCTGATATTAAGTTTCATGTTTCTGGTAAGACTTTCTTGCTTTTGTCTTAGCTACTCCTTTGAGGGATTTGTTATAAACTGTTTCTTTCCATCCAAATTTTCAGACTGTAGGCATAAATATTGCTTCTTTTACTCCCTTTTATTTTTTAGTTTATTTAACTGCTCAGATGCTTAAATTTCTTATCTTTTCTGTACATGCTAAAATTCAGTATAAGAATTTGATTGTGCTTTTCAGTACAATTGTTTTAAACCAATGTTTTTCATTTATATTTTATTTATTCATTTTCCTCAATTAGATCTTTCCATAGCTGCCAACTGTCCAGAATCTTTCAGATTTGTTCCTAATTTTTAAATCAAAATTGAAAATCCGATATTTTTATAAAAAACTCGAATTTTTGTAAAATTGCTGTATTTTTGCTTTTAAACCAATCCCTTGTTCTGATCGCCGCACTCGCGCTTCGTGTGATTGTGCTGAAGTAATTATTAGTAGCTTTTCATTGGAAAATACTATTTCAATAGCAGTTGCTGATCATTTCACTAAATTGAATCTTAAACAACTATTATTATGTTTTAAAAAATTTATTGTAGAATTTAAACACTTGCATCAGAAATATTTGTTTATGGTGTAGTTTAATATTTACCTGTGTTTTATAATTTGGAGAATAATAATTATATATTAATAGGTAATTGTTGTTTTTAAACTATTATACTGGTAGTCCTAATTATAAAATATTAATATTATAAATTTCCAACAAAAGATTTTTTTATAATAATTTTTTTTTTATTAATTTATATAAGGTATTTAAATATATGTCTATTAATGTTATTATTTAATAATTAAATTTTTGTCTTACTCTCGTAATTGGTGCGTATAATTTTTTCGCATGTAGTGTTCATAATTTTTGATTCCTAAGGTTGGCTACTATGTCTTTCATTTTTTTTTTTTGCTTGTATTGCATTCAGACTCATAAATGTCATTAATTATTGTGTAGGAGCGGAAGTATGCATGGGCAAACATTAGAAATTATGAAAATTGCTGTCAAAACGTTGCTAACCACTCTTGGTGAAAATGACTTTGTGAACATAATATCTGTATGTATTTACTTTTTATGCTACTTTACTCTTTGTGTGTTCTGTAAAGTAAACCTTCGTGATAGTTTATTTTCTCCCTTCTAGTTTAATACTACTGCCAAATGGATATCTTGTTTTGATACTTTAGTTCAAGCTAACAGAAGAAATAAACAAGTATTTATTTTTTGATGCATTTTTTTAATATTTTTTTCTCCTAATAATATTTTTACTATAATAGAAAAACAATAGCACTAATAATGACACTACACAAAATTTAGCTGTGCATATTTTATTTATTATACTAAATGATTTCTTATTTATTTATCTCATAACGAACATTTTGATACTCCATTTTTGTAATTTTACCTTACTCTGGGTGGTGTTTTCAATACAAATATAAACAAAAACAAATCTTGAGATCTTTGCCTTAACAACTACCAGTTAAAAAGCTTACTACAGCTTATTATGTGAGGCAATATTTTCAAACAGATAATTTTTTTAGTAAACAACATAAATAATATGATTCCTGGGCTCAAATCTGCTGCATTTCATTAGATATTGTTATTAAATAATTCTGCTGAATTTGAAGTTAAAATTTGTTTCAATTATTTTAAAATATTTTGTTTAAAAAAGCAACATGGTTACTATATACAGAAAGAACTAGCCTTTTTGGCAGTCCTGATTTAGCTTCCTTTGATTTGTTTATTATTATTTGTTCTTGTTACAAGCAATGCACTGTGCGCACATAAGTGTTAGTATTTAGTTAAAGTAGCAAGGCTAGGTTTATGTTGCACATTATCATTTAGAACAAGGTCATGTTGAGCCAAATAACCTGAAAATACACCGGATACAGTAACCCTAAAATAGAGGCAGTAAAGAGCTTGCAATGCTCCCTAGTGTAGTAAACACCTTTCATATTATAGTTAAAATAGTTTTAATTATTTAACTCATGAGTTTTAATTATTAAACTTATAATTCAGCTTTAAGACCGAAAAATAAATTTTGTTTTGCCCATTTTTTGTTTTTCTAATTTATATGAGAAAATCTGTAAGTGTGTACCTTGATTAATTTTATACTTATTAAAGGGATTTATGTTTGAATAAATATGGGTACCAAATCCTGAAAGTTACCTACTGACTGTTTCTTTCTTTTTTGTTTTCTTTTGTGCCAAATTTTGTTCTTTCAATGAATATTGATATTTAACATGCTTACAAATAACTTTCACAACTTAACTTACATCTGCTTAAATGACTATTGGCATCGTTGTTAAAATGAATATAATTAAAGTGTTTTGGAGTAGTGAAGAAAATTCAATAAAATATTAAAATCTTTTCTAACATCTTATTTAGATACTTTCTAAAAGCATTGACACTGTTGAAGATGGCAACATGGCTAAGCTAGATGTTGGTCTTGAATTTGCGTTCAGAGCTTTCGAACAGGTAAACTTAATATATTTGCAGTAATTAGAGTGTTTTTGAAATTTTGTTTCACCATATATATTATACGCACAAAACAGGGGTCTGTTTAGAAGAAATTTGGGTCCATTAACGGACCCTTCACAAAATAATTTATCTTTTAATCAGACCTTTCACAATTTTTTTTATCTTCATTATTGTTTTGTTAATCGAATAAATTCTTCCCAGGGGGGTGGGGGGAAAGAAAGACAGATGTAAATGAGCTAAGCTTTGTCTTCGACAGACGCTTCTTCCATTATTCGTTCAATATGAATATTCTGCATTCAGTAGTGTAGGGTAAATACCAAATATTAGTATGTTGCATCTCTAATTTAGTAGCACCAATTGCTGTATATTTTTTAAAATTTAATTTTTTTAAATTATAATTTTACATCGTTGAGCATAATCTTGTATCTCTTTACAATTTAAAAACTCATTGAAAAGAGTTTTAGCTATAACAGGACCCTATTTGCACAAATTCACAAAAGCAGGACCCTGGTTTAAGGAATGTGACTTAACGTTTATTTTATATTCACAAATTGCGAGTAATTTTTTCACAATTTTACGAAAATGGACCTTTCACAAAATGTCTGGACAGACACCTGCATAATATTTATTGACAAAAATAACAATTTTCACTTATTCTCTCCAGAAATGTAATTCTAAAAGAAATTGTTTTAGTTTAATAACTTTATTAATGTATTGCCATTTGATGATTTTCAAAATTTTGTCATAGTAGCCATAACTGTGACAGCTATGTGATAATTTTGAGCTAAGTAATAATTTGCTACCTTTAAGCACATACTTTAATGCTAACTTTTATTTCTCTATCTCAAACCACATGCTCGGCAAGCACTCATATTTTCGTAAAAGTCATATAACCATCTGGAATTTTTAGAAGGATTGTTAAGATTATGTGCCGCAGCGATCAGTGTCTTAACAGAAATAAGGCTAGTCTTTCAAGAGGAGCATTGCTGATTTATCCATAAATCAAATGCGTAATAACGATTTTTAATATTTCCAAAATATTTACATTATGAATAAAACAGATTTAATCGTATTCTATTATGATCTAAAAATAAACTTTTAGTTCAAAAAATGTACACCAAGTTAAAATCGTACTGCAAATTTACTCAGTCTTACACATCCATTCTAGGTTTACTTTTTTCAGAGGACGGGCATCCCTGACCTTTTGCTTCCTCCTAGTGTTTCATTAGTCTTGATTATCTGTAATTTTTTTAAATGAGTGTGTATATCTTGTTGTGTATTCAATTTTGTATATTTCTATTTTATACATATGTGTATGTTTACAGTTTCGTGAGAATCGTACTGAAATGTGGGCTGGGTCAGATTGCAATCAAGTAATCATGCTGTTTAGCGATGGTGGGACCGAAGAAGCATGGGAAGTTTTAGACAAATACAATTCTGATAAAAGTGTAAGTTTTTACTGTTTACCATTTTTTAGATACAAGTTGTGTATAAAAAATCTTCTATTCTTTCATATTCATATAATTCTTTTTAAATTAAATTATATTTTACTACAAACTTGCCTAATTGCAAAACGCATGGTCAGATAAATAATGAATCCTGTTGAAATCATAAATTAACCTTGGATTTAATTGTTTATTCTTTATCACTATTTGATTCTGGGCTTTACATAGAAACATTCACATTTAGAACATTCACAAAATACATGAACAACAGAAACTAGTATTGTAAACTATTACATAGTTTGCATAACAACATCTGTTAGTTATTGAAATTACTATCTGTAGTTTCTTATTCATAGTTTCTGTTTCATAACTTAAATTAGTTGAGTATTGAAGTATTAAATTAATCACATTGTTTTATTGTCCATCCATAAATTGAACTGAAGAAGAGCTCTAAAACTCTTTCCAAAGGAATTATCTTTCCACATGCAGAATAGAATATAATTATACTCCTAATAATATTTATACATTTTATATTAATATTTTCTAGACTATATTAAATACTTATTTAATTAAACACTTGTCCCCCTTTATATAAATCTTAATATTTTTGCATATTTATTTAAATTTCATGTTCCTTAAGTATTAGGATTGTTATTAAGTATTATTTTTTATAAAAACTTCTGTTATTCTCTCCCTTAAGATGTTTAATTTTTTTAAGTAAATATAGATCTATCTGCTCCTGTAACTGTTACTTTTATATTCTTTCTTTTCTTCAACATTTTGCTTTTCCATCAAACATAGTTTATAGTACCATTTAATTTCGCTTTTTATTTTTAACTTTCAGCTTTCATTCTGGCACCATATATTCCCATCTAGCTTTTGAGTCATTGCATGAACGACCTAATTCATCTTAAATTTCTTTTGATTCTGTGTGTCCGTTATTTTACATTCTTCATTGCTTCGATTAAATAATTTGTAATATTTTATTTAGATAAGAGTATTTGCTTATGCTATTGGTCCTCATCCTGTACCTTATGCCACTTTAAAAGAAATAGCCTGTACTAATAGAGGTAAATGAATGCTTTTTTATACTATAATCCTTAACAAATTTCTTTGTGTTCTCATTTGTTGGTTCAATCAATATAAAATTTGATTTAGAAAGTAATCTACAAAAAGCAATGTGTGTCTATTTTCCCTACATAATATGCTTATTGATCAATGTAATTTTGTAAATACTGATTACTGTTCCCGTTTTTGTATGTCTATGTCATACCAGCTCTTTACAATGACTTTGAGAAAGCGTTGAGATTCATTTTTAACTTCATCAATTGTTAAACTTCCACTCGTTTGCATTAACTTTGATGTAATATCTTCACACACATAACACATTCAGGTATGGCACTCAAGGACTCTCACCAGTACCCTAATTTAAAAGATTTCTGGTGGAAATGTGATTCAGCTCTAATAATGGAGGGAAAGATCAATTTTAATGCAAAGGCATGGTGGAGAGCTTGTATAACAAGAGTATCCATAAACTGTCGCAGTATCTACAAAAATGTAATTACGTAGAGAAGTATACCAAAATGTCATATTATAGAAAATAAAAATTTTTGTATTTCTAAATATAAATGGATAAATAAAAAAGAGATTATTTTGGGACTATCTTTACATACACCTTTATTTATTTATCATCAATAAAAAAACTACCAGTTACAGTTACTAAGCAGATAAATTTTTATAATAGCTGAATGCACATTTTATATCTTGACCATCAACTCTTATTAGATTAGCTTAGGGGATTGTGAAAATATTTATGCTGTATTTCTGTATGAATTTTATCATTTTACATAAACTGTTTATTTTAAAGATTGAATAATGAATTTGATGTGATTAATATTCTGCTTGTATTTTTTAAGTTATATTTTAGAGGTAAAAATCCCCTTATCATTTTAAAATTTCATTATCATTTCCTTATCATTTCATTATTATTCATATCAAAAAATTATTCTGTAAACAGAGTTTATTTTCTTTGATTAAAAATTAAATCAATTAAAAAGGTAATTTCAATTAAAAGGCTATTTTAATAAATCATTTATTTACAGTATATTTTACATTGATACTCTGAAAAATCAAATCCAACTTTAAGCAAACTTTTGAGAAGGTGTAGATATTCTGTTAGATATGCAGATAAAAAAATCAATTCATGTGAAAAATTAATTTATGCGAAAAATCAGTTTATGAAAATTTGACAATTAAATTATTCATGTTGTCTGTTTATAATATTGTTACAAAAAATCAGCATTTTGAAAACCATTTAAAAAATTTTAGCTGTGAAATTAAAATCTGTTAAAAAATTAACTGACAAGACCACAAGAATCTAGAATAGGAATGTTGCAAATTAAGCGTGTCCAAATAATACCACAGAGAAAGTATCAGCATTTTAAAAACCACATTTCAAAAAATTGCTATGAAAACAATTCATAAACCATGTGAATTCGAGAATGTTAAAAAATGCTCCAATGTCAAGAATCAATATACAGTTGTTAAAAATCTAGATTTTAAAAACCTCATGCTAAGAGTATTTTATAATTGGAATTTTGAGCTATTAGAACATTTTAAAATTGAAATAATGTGGCGTTCTTTGCATAAAAGTGTACAATAATTGATATACACTTTAAAAAATCTTTTATACTTGTGTAGCTTAATTTTTTTTTTTTTTTACATTTGTGTATCATGTCATATTTTTGACAATGAAATGAAGTTATCCTTTTAGACCTCTAAATTTTTCCTGAAAGGTCTCTTATAGTAGGTAGATATTAAATGATTCGGGATTTGTTTACAGAAATTCTGATAATTAGAAACAAAGCTTTTACAGAAATTCTGAATCATTACTTAAAATTAAATATTAGTTTCATTGACATAGATTAAAAGAGTGTCTATGGATTTAATTAAATAGTATTTATTTTTAGAAAATAAATCTCCATAAAGAAATGTAGCATGCTAGGAAATCTTTTTGGCTCTTAAAATAAATGTCATATATATATATATTTTATGTCTATATATATATATATATATTATTGCTTTGAAACTTATATTGCAAAACTGGCATCATATCAGTGCTAAAACATAATTTAATCCAAAATTTGAGGTGCAATCCAGAAATTCATCCATTTGTTAACAACTTATCTTTTGGTAAAAAGAATTATGCAAATTACCATAACCATAATTTAAAAAAAAAAAGGATGAAAGGATGTAGGCATAAGTTACACAATGTTTCTAGTATTTGATTGTTTTCTGAATCTTTTTATTCTATTTTATATAACCATAATTATTTTTCACCTATTCTCCATGTTTCTAACTGATGTTGCTACCTATCTATTTCAGTAGTATAGCTGCCTTCTATAAATCTTTCAATTTATGCTTTATATATTGTTTTTTTTTTTTTTTTCTCCATCAACACAAAGACTTTCTATCCATCTTTGTGTGAATAACAATCAATTCACAATTTATTTAAACTGAAACTTCTTTCCTCTTTAAGGTTACTTCACGTCGATTCAAGCAATGGGAGCTGTCAGAACCAAGATTCAAGTAAAGTGTTTTCTTTTTTTCTTTCTGAAAACAATGTTGATATTGCATGAGTTTACAGCTTGTTGATTATTTATTATCTGCTGAAAAAAATTTTAGGTTTCTGTCTGTGAGTGCTTATAATGTTTCCTGCATGTCTACTGTTGTTGCATGTATCTTGCTAGATTATCTAGCAGTAGAGTAAGTAGTTTTGCTTTTTTATGTGCCTTATGATTTGTTAATTTATTTTTGTCAAATGTTCAGCAGAATTGTTTTATAGTATGGTGAAACTATTTCATTTTGTTTATATGATTTTAATTTTGCAATGTTTTTTAGTCCTTAACTCCATAGACTTATGGAGACCTTCCAAATTTGTGTAATTTTCCTTGCAATCAGTGTCTTATGTCGAATTTGGCTAACAGTCTTGGGAAAATTATTAGTAGAGCTAAGTCTTTTTTTTATTTTAGATTTTCTTGTATTAACCTTTTAAATTTCAGTTTAAAGTGTTTATTTGATTATTATTTATTTTTTTTGTTGCTTTTTTGTGATGTACAAAATAAATCCCTCAGGGTAAGGTGATGGGTGAGTTTTTCATTTCTTGTATGTAGATTGTAATATTTCTGAGGTTCAAATAATTTATATACTCTTTAATTCCTCCTCAGTGAAGGAATATTATATTGAGTGTGAAGTGTTATGAAGAATTACAATGATACCTAAACAATTAATATCAAAATATATGTATATTACTAAGGGCTTCCAACAAAGAAGATGGCTCAATCAAATTTGGGGTAATAGGTAATTAATATACAATTAACAGCAATGCTCCATTTTCGATAAATATTGTTAACTTGTGTTTTTTTTTTTTTTTTTTTTTNATCTACATTAATGAAATAGTCCTTAGAAACTGTTACAACACATCAAAATGTAGGTAAAAATTTTTTTTTTTTTTTTTTTAATAAAATGTGAAATTTTCTGCCTAAATGAAAGATCTTTCCTTCATCGAAACCAAATTATTTTGGGAAATTCCTTATTTACTATAATTGTTTTTCTCAAAATAATATATATTTTTTCCTTTTTAAGTTTTTATTTTATTCTGTAAGAATAAAATTTGTACAGATCAGTTTCCCCTACCACAGAGTGAAAAAGATACTTTTTCCTTTATGTTCCTAAATTATATCTCTGTAAAATAATACATTGTTTCTAAATAAAGACAGTTAACAGAAAAAATTATTCAGTTTCTCACTTTTAAACATATAAATTGCATTTTAGTTAATATTTTATTCAGTACTTAGGCTAAATCTTGTAAGCAGTACTTGTGTTGGCCTATTATTTTTTAAAAAATACACATGAACTGCATGCATATTTTTTTTAAAAATAATATGTTCCATTTAATAAATATGTTTAATAAATATCAGCAAAAAATCATTCATCATCAGCACTCATTTAACTGTTGGGTCATATTATCCCCACATTTGGTTGCCAGATGCATTTTAAACAATTTTTCATCTTGATATCCCTCAAAGATTGTGACTTAGTACTTTTACTAAAATCAGCTAAATGTTAAAATATGACAAAATTAATTAATTTTATACGGTTTAATGAATGAGACTAAAATAAAATCTTTATCTGAGATATATCTTTTTGAACCTCAAATTTACTTCTTAAATGTGGTTTCTTATTCTATTTTCATTTATAAGATTTTTACAATTGTTTGAAATTTTCTTAATTGCCATGACAGTTTAAATAAGTCTTTTTTCCTGAAACTGTAAAAGTCTTAATGCTAGAGTGTCTAAAATAGAGATACCAAAACTTTTTGTAGATTAGGGTCACTAACAGGAAAGTTGTGTTTTTGGAGGCTACATTATTATCTGTTCATTTATTATTTACTGTAATTAAAAACAGTTGTAATGTATCTAGGAAATTAGACAGTATAAAGGGTTTCATATATTAAAACTGTTCATTTTTTATTTTATTACTTTTGCAATTGTTGGTTATTTTCTTTTGCAATAAAATAAAATTCTGGCAAATTTCTAGCTTATCTTCATTTAGAAACATATGTATAATTTTCTAATAATTTACTTAATTCTTTTTGTTTCTAAATAAATCTTTCTTTGAATCTTTTTTGTTCCTTTTTTTTCAATTTTAGGAAAAATAGGGCAGTTTGTTCAAATCTTTGAGCTTTTCTAGCTGTTAGTTTAATAATACAATCGTGATGATTTCTAATAATTTGTTGAAATAAGTTTTAAAGAAGTAAAAGGATTGTCCCTCCCCCCTTAATCTACATATGGAACAATGCTATATTCTGCCTCTGAGCTACAGGTTATTGTGGTACCCGTAATTAAAAATGCCTTGCACATAAATCTGATTGCATGTCTTAATTTTTGTGAAAGATACTTTTTTTTCCTTATTAAGTGCTCAATTTTAAATGTACTTGATAATAAAAACTAATTAAAGAATAGCAACTTTTGAAAATTGTGCAAACACTTACTGGTTCCGGTTTGGGCAATTCTTTTGAACTATTTTACATTTTTTGGTGTGTATTACATTTGTTTTACTTGGTAAATTTGTTGTAACTTTTAAAGTTAATCAAATTATCAATGAAATATTCAAAGAAATAAATATTTTAATTTATAAAGGTATTTTTTTTAATTGGTATTCTTTTCTTTTGTGTGTGTTTTAGGATTATGTTAAAGTTCTTGGCCGTCCCTTGGTTTTAAATTCAAGCAAAAACTATGAATGGACAAACCTATATATTGATCCTTTGGTAAGTAGATTGCTAGAGTTTAAAAATTTTTGTTTACAAATCATTTACCTCATCAGTATAAATATTTCTAACCTTTTTCAGAATTTGGGTATGATGACAACTGTGACACTACCAATATACAATAGGACAGATGATGGAGTAAGTTATGACTTCCATTTTTCAGTTTTAAATATAAAAGTACAAAAATTCAAATAAGTGTTCTTTTCAAGCTATTGAAATTTCACTTTACTTTGCAAAAATTTCTTGAACAAATGTAACTAGTTAAATTTTTTTTTCAAATATCAAGACGCATACCCTCCACCTCCTATGAAATTTCTGTAGTAGTTACTTGAATTCATTGTAAAATTTTAAATTAAGAATTTAAAGTCGAAAACTACAAGTTAAGCTGAATTTGTTGCTTCTTAGAACCCTAAACCCACTCAGTGACTTTCTATAGAAAAGTGAATAAGATTTTATTTCTTCCTCTTGTTATTTGGCTGTACAGTAGATGTCACAGCAAATTGATGATTCCCACATATGTTAAGTGTCAATTGGTTACACATTTTTACTTTAAGATTTTTTTTTTTTGATAGAAGCAAAGTGAATTTAAAATAGTTTTTCGTTTGAAATAAAGCTATTACATTATCCTGATTATTAGTTTTTTTTACATCTCATGTGCTCTTGTTTGCTTTTATTTGAATCCTTTCATCCAGGAGTTTAGAGTTGGAGTATGAAAAATTTGCTAACTCGAACTCTAGTTAATGAAGAGATACATTCTGTAGATAAAAATTTTTTTTTATATATATGTGATGGAAGTTGATCCGTTTAGTGATTTTTTTAGAAATTGTTCACGTTTATATGATTGAGGTAAATTCATTGCAGTTTTTGTGAAGATTTGGCCTTAGTACTAATGATTTTTTGTACATTGTTTTTCTGAGGACATTGGGATTTTTTCCAGAAAATTGAACAAAATTATTTCAAAAAAGATTTGTTGCTTTATTTTTTATAAATATTATACGATACATTATGGCCTTTAAGATATCAAAAAACATAAAATAAAAAGATACTCCTTTAAAGGGGTGTAGAAATGCACTTTTTTATTATGAAGATCTTCGTAAAGTTTAATTAACCGTCGAACCAAGGGATGAAACTGCCAAACCGAATACCAAGAGTTCAAAATTAAAAGAAAGGGTTGTTCCCAACAGACAGTTAGGATCATGCAAAGAGATCGATTGTCGAAGGCGAAAGACGATTTGTCGAAAGATAAAATAGCCAATAAAAAAGCAATCTCTGCATAATTAACATTAAATTTGAAGTAATTTGGCTCTAGTTTAATCGCCAAAAAGACCGGAAGCACTAATATAACCCTGTAGCTTTGTGGTAAGAGAAATAAAGTAACTTAAGGAAGAAAAAGTTAAAAGTAGATTTTGATGTTCTATTTAGTCACAACAGGGAATTAATGAGTTTTTCATTTGTATTAAATTGAAAAGTTGGCCATTACATTGATTGTTAAGAAGCGAATAAAATATTTATACTTGCTTTTTATGAAATGTAATTAAAATTGAATAATTGGTTCAATTTAATTAAAATTGGATTAAGTGTAATATTAAAAAAATTAAATTTAAGAAATTAAAGTAATTTTAAAAGCTGGGAAATATGTAATGCCTATTATGGCATCGCAATAATCATATATTTTTCTTATGAAAGTTATTTGACAAATATTTATGGTAGCGTAGACATAAATATTACTTTATTTAAATTATTAGTTACAACAAAGTTAGACACATTATAGCATTTTCGAGCCTACGTTTAAGCAAACTATTGGAAAATGAAAGCTGAAAATCATTAAAACCATCTAAAAATTAAGAATAATAAAGGAATATAATGTGTTGAATAAATATGAATGTAATGTGTTGTCTTTTTATCAGGGTTGGGTTTTTGATGGCAAAACGTTTAAGCAAACTATTGGAAAATGAAAGCTGAAAATCCTTAAAACCATCTAAAAATTAAGAATAATAAAGGAATATAATGTGTTGAATAAATATGAATGTAATGTGTTGTCTTTTTATCAGGGTTGGGTTTTTGCCATCAAAAACTGGTTTTTGAGATGACAGTGGTAAAAACCTACTGTTTTCTTAAATTTATGGCATATAGCGGACAATATATTATTTTCACATAATTGCCTTTATAAATGAATGTTGTAAATTATTGCTATTGATTTTGCAACTATATACATGCATCCTTATAGAAGGATATACATTCATACAGTAATATTGTAATATACTTATTGAAAATAGTGATACTTTTATCATTATAGCTTGATTTGCAAATGATTAAAAATTTTGCACTTCTTAATTGTTAGAAATAAACAAACAAACGAAAAAGCTTGTAACTATTAATAAATTCAAGAACTAAAAAGAAGAATTTAAAATTTGGCATTTCTTAAATATTAGAAATAAGCTAAAATAAACTTTCAAAACTTGTAAGTACTAACAAACACTAATTCAAGAATTACTGCTATTTTGTCAAGTTAAAAGCTTTTATTCTGTTGAAAAAGCATATTAAGCAAAACTTAATTACAAACAAAATTACATGTTCATAAGTCAGGGTCACTGCCGAATCATACGATAACAAGTGACTAATTTTGCACATTTTTCATTGCCCAGTCAATTTCTGAGTTTAATATGGATGAGTCCAAAATTCGAGAAGATTCTGTCAATGGAAGCCTGTCATTGAGGATAATGATAACAAAAGGTTATTACAATGTTGCAAGGAAACTCTAAAAGGATTTCCCAGGCTTTTTCATGTCTCATTTCTGTGTAAAATATTGAAAACAAAAATTATAAGAAAAGTTTATTTTATGAGGCTTTTTTTTATGTATACATGTGTTTCTCAAAGCAAGATTTTATGAATGAAAGTAATCAGTCTTGACATTCTTCAGTAATGTAATATGCCAAACAAAGTGATGCTTGAAAATGTTGAAAATTTTGTTTAGTATCCTAATTTTTTACTTCAAATAGTATGTTTTGATATAAACATATTGGGAAAATGCAAGAATCTGTTCTTAAATATCTTTTAACAACTTTTTTTCTAATTTTATTGCCCAAAAATTAATTAATTTTAAATTATAAGCAGTTAAACTCAAATAAAATTACAGTTTTACCAAAACTATGGGTTTTTGACATGACGGTAAAAACCATGGTAATAACCGGTAAAAACCGTCATGTGTCAAAAACTTGCCAACCCTGCTTTTTATGTATAAATTCCTGAACCAAATTTCTTGTTTAACAAAATTACTTAGTGAATTAAAAAATGTGTAAATGAATTTAATACATTATTTTTAATAGTTCCCTCGTTCATGAATATTCACTGAACAATTTTTTTTTATCATGACACATTTATATATGTGCATGTGAGACGTTGATATGTAATTCTTTTTTTGTATTGATTTTGCCCAATTCAAATATTTGTTCAAATACGTTTTCTAAATTTTTTACTTCAACTGTGTTAGTTTA